CTTGCAAATTAATGTGCCTCTCGTAACCCCGAGTTTTGCCTTGGCAGTGCCTTCCGCGAGCATGACCAGACTCATGCGGTCCCGCACAGCTTCCGGTTCCAGCGTCACCTCCATGGAAGGCAACAGGAGCAGAGCCCACACTGGGGAAGGGGCCCGCAGTCGGTCCCATACAGGCGAAGGGCCCAGAAGCAGAGCCCCAACTGGGGACGCTCCCCGGAACCGTGCTGCCACGGACATCGAGCTGAGTTCTAATTCTGCCAAGACGACCAGTGGACAGCCGAGCCCCAAGTCGATGGAAGTGTCCTGTTAAAACGGCGGCGCCCTCGTCCAAAACCCAAGATCAAGCAGAAGCTTGCACATTGCAATAATTAACCTAATAACAAATGGATCTCTGCCCCTCCCTTCCCCAAATCCACAGGGACCAATTTAAAAAACAAACCCTCATCTCAGTTCCTCTCTTTCCCTAATCAAATGGCTGATCTTTCCAGCTACTCCTAGATGGCTTTAACACTCATCCAGTTATTGATCTAATACAGTGTTTCTCAACTTGGCAAATTGGAAGATGTCCGGACTTCAACTCCCAGAATTCCCCAGCCAGCGAATGCTGGCTGGGGAATTCTGGGAGTTGAAGTCCGGACATCTTCAAGTTGCCAACGTTGAGAAACACTGATCTAATATATATATATATTTTTAAAGATCCAAGATTTCAACCTGTCTGTCTTTTTTTGGAAAGCGATTGCCTGAAGCTTGTGGGTCATCTCTATGCTTCCCTTTTACCTGGTTCTAAAAACAAAGTATCCCCCCTCCCATCTGATTTTAAGGCTTCATTATGGAAAGGGGGGGGGAGATGGGGAAGGATGAAAAGAAAACAATGGGAGATTTTTAAAACTCTTCACCCTCAGCTCTGACCCATACTTATTCCTCCAAAGGGAATTGGGTGACTGGCCTCACAGATAGCATCTTATTTGCTACACCACAACATTAAAAAGGGGGCATTTGATACAACCTGGAGGCAATTTTTAAAAAGCCACTGAAATCTCTTTCAGGCAGACCTGAGAACTTGCCTGCGATTTTTCCATGCTGCTTAATTAAACCAGAGTAAGGATTCAGGATTCTTAGAAATGCACCACATTTGGTCTTAAATTTTGCATTTCTGCGAGTGGCCTTTTTAAGAAGCCGCAGCAACGGATAAGTAAAGCTGTTCTCTTTATTGTAATTAAACCACTTTTGGTGTTGCAGGTTTTCCTGCAGGGATACCCTCCACCCACCCACCCACCTACCCACCCACTCACTCACTCACCTCCCCAATATTTTGTTTCCCCGATAATTTGGGGGCAGAAGTAACAAGCATCTCATTCTTGAATTGACACTAGCAGTAAATTAAGACAGTGGAAATCGTGTGTAGTGATTACTGAAAACTATAAATATTTGCAAAATGTTGGAGGCAAGAGGCAAGGCTGTACTAGAGATTTAGTCTGATGATTGTAAAAGTAGATTATATTGATTCTACAATTGAAAAGCCACTTTGCCAATGTCTGCAGCGCTACAAGGAGGGAAGCAGTGAGCAGGACAGCTCAACAGGTTTCTAGCATAGACGAGAATTCTTAGTTTTTATTGGAACATAATTATATCTATTTTTCCACTGGCTCGATCTGTTTGCTACTTCACAAAACTTTAATATAGCTAATAAATTTTGGATAATGAGCATTTGCATCATTTAGCATCTCCGGAGCTGAATATCTGAGTTATTTCACGAGAACTGATTTCTTTTACCCTAGGTTAATTACCTGGGTTTCCTCGTTTTTTTTTTTCTTCTTCAAATGACAACTTCAAAAGTTTCCTGGAAAGTTTATTAATGAAGAATAGCAGATTGTAATAGAGAGGCTCCACTTGCCTATTATTATTTTTTTTGGGGGGGGGGGGTTTATTAATGATTTATTTGTATTTATTTCAAAGAAAATAAATTTGTAACTTTGCAGTGTTTGCTGGTTTTATTTCTGTGTCCAGACTAGTGATAAGAACGTTAGGGAGAGGGGTAGAGAGGATTGGAGGGAGGGTGAGAAGGAAGGGAGGGAGTGTACCGGGAGAGAGGACTGGTAGAGGGGGAGGGGAAGTAGGGTAGAGGGGAATGATGGAGGGAAGATGGAAAGTTGGAGGGGGGCAAAAGAAAGGGTGTATGGAGGGTCGAAGAGGTATATTGGGTTTCTATTCTTGGGGGTATTGTTGACAAGAGGAATGACTCTGTTTAATGTTATATGGCCCCGGTTATGCACAGTATATATGTGACTGTATGAAAATGTAAAATAAAAACACATTTACACGGGGGGGAAAAAGAATGTTAGGGAGAGGGGAAGAATAATTCTTTTTATTTAGAATAACTGAATGGACATAAAAAAGTTTTTAAAGTTTTAAAAAAACTTTAAAAACCTGTTTGTCTTCCTCCCTCCCTCCCTTTCCCGGTCTTTCTTTCTTTCTTTCTTTCTTTCTTTCTTTCTTTCTTTCTTTCTTTCTTTCTTTCTTTCTTTCTTTCTTTCTAGGAAAGAAAGAAAGGTGCTAGGAAAGGTGTGTCAGGATTACAACTAAGCTAATTTCCAACCAATATCCTCCCAAATCTGGAGGATGACAGCTTACTGAAGGACGTCTAATTAAGGCCTGTTATGAAGGGATAAAAAGGAGCTTAGGTAGCTATAAATTGGCCTCTGAACGACTTGGGGCACGTGAAACTTGAGCATCAATTGGTGACTTGCCAATTCCAAGCATGTGAGGTTAGTAGCCTTAAAGACATGATCACCCTGTCCAATGATTCGTCTTTGCCACTCGAAAGCACGGCCCTTCTGGGGGGAAACCAGTTGGTTGTTGACTTTAAAGGCTTCGACAACGGCGGTCTCAAAGCCCAGCGACGCAGATTGGTACTGGTCCATGCCCTGTTAGGAACCGGGCCACACAGCTGCGGGTGAGCAAGTGAATGAAGTTTCATCTGCCCATGTACGGGATCTCGGTTGCGTGCAAAACTATCTTCTCCCTGCCCGCCTGGTCTGTGGAGAAATTCCCATCCACTAAACGTCCCCGGTGGGGGGTGGGAAAGGTTGGGGAAACTGGACTCCCAGAATTCCCAAGGAATCCTTGCCATCTTCAAGTTGAACAAGACCGTTTCTTAGCTGTTCAGCAGGGGTATCAAACTTGATTTCATTGTGTTTGACCTTGGGGAGGGACGGGGGATGGCCAGGGGTGTGTGAACAGCTCAATGTCATTCTTGTCGGAGGCTTCTGTGGTGACTTGAGCATTCTGCCAGCGAAAATGGGCTCCTGAGCTCCGTTTTCAGCTGCGACAATCTCCTGAAACCCTCTGCCAAGGAAAACGGAGCTGGGGAGGCTGCATGCAGAAGAATGCAGGAGGCTGTCGCAGCCAAAAACAGAGCTCGGGAGCCCATTTTCGCCAACAGAGGCACCATGGGCCAGTCTTTTGCTGTTTCTAGATCTAGGCCCCATAGGCCAGATCTAAGCATCTCGTGGGCCAAATCTGGCCCCCGGGCTTTGAATTTGACACCCCTGCTGTTCAGGGAAGCCCTAGCATCACTCCCTCCTTTATGCACGGCTCAGAAATGCAGGTTGGAGTTTTGCAGGGGTAGAAAATCCCTGCTTTTCTCCGTAATTTCTCACCTGTCTCAGCCCACACCTGGTTAGCCCAAACAACAGGCTGGTAGCTTTTGGTGAGCTTATTTTTACAAACCGAAGTGCCACTATTAGCCGAACTATCTGAAATTGGTAGGAGAAAAGAAAGACAAATGGATTCAACCGTTAAATATCCCATTCGTTTCTTTGCAAATGCTCAGCGCCGGCTTTCTTTATTACAACTTTGTGCCTCATAGATCGGAAACTGGATATTAAAAACTGATGTGTCAGGCCTGCAATCATATTCCTTTTAGGATCTTTGGCCTGCCCCACTCTCTCTCTTTCTTTACTATGCTGCTTCATTAGTGGGGTAATTGGGAGGGGAAATAGTAAGGAGTAGAATTGTAGAAAGTGTTGTTGTCAAAATAAAACATTCCTTTCTAGAAGCCCAAGGTCATTCTTTGTCTCCGCACCTCTGCACCTGGCCGGAACTAGATGGGTGGAAATGCCAGCGTGGCAGAGGAAGATTGGACCATGTAATGGACTTGTGGGTGTGGGGACAAGATCATGAACTTTCAACTGGGTGGGAAACCCCAGAAGCTTTCAGATTCGGGAATCCCACAGATGTACCAACATGTCTCTCTTATTAAATTGGAACTTTGAGGAAAGCTCTGCCTTGAACTCTGATTTAATTCTGGATGATATTTGGAACCCTGACATGATGTCTCTTTCACGCAGCTGTGGACAACGTGTGAAGACAGCTGATAACCCTGCATTGCCCAGGTGTTTTTTTTTTAATCCGAATCCTGTAATAGACAGGAAAAGCCCTCATCTCAGTGACAATTAAATTAGTTCCAAATGTTTTCCCTGTGCCCCCAGAAGTGTCTAGAAAAATGATACCACTTTAATTTCTAATGTTGGATTTTCCCCCTTACCAGAGGGAGCCCCCTTGTGGAGTACTGTGAAGCCGTTAGCATGGCGACTGCGCTGCACAGTAGAAGCCATTTTACGGTAGTACAGTAGAAGCCATTGTAAGGCCCAACAGGCTGTACCTTAGCAGAACACACACATCCCAAGAGGTGTTAGTGGTGTCTTACCCCCACAGTATTAGTTTCCAGAGGGTAAGTAAGCTGTCTACCAAGTATGGTTGAAATTGCTTGAGGCATTGCACAGTTATGCTGGAACATACACAGACAGATCAACAAGGCCTGCTGGGAGCTTCCTTCTCATCTGCCCCAGGTGAAACAATTGCAATGACAACAACAACAACTACCTTTTATTAATTTTTAACCCTCTGTAAAATCAGAGTAGTAATACATTGTAGGCCCCTGTACCTTCGTTTCCCTCTTGATCTTCTCCTCTCCCTCCCTCCCATCAACTCCTATCAAGTTAATTAGCAATTTCAGAGTAATCGTGAAAATGAGCTAAGTCAGCAAAGATGTCATTGGGGTTCTTGCAACTCAGGTTGCAGAAACAGGCATTGATCCACATGATTTTCCTGGAAAAGTCAGTCCCATCCGGACAGTGGAAGTTGACTTCAATGGTCTTTGATTTGTACGGGCTGCAGCAACGCTCATCCAGGCACAGGCCGCAGTACTTGGGCCTGTAGCGGATCTTACTTGTGCACCCAGAGAGCGTATAGTTCATGGGAGCCTCCTCTCTGTACACTGCCAAGCATTTCTTCCCAGGCTACAAGAAGGGGAGAAAGAGACACAAAGAGAATTGATCAGACATGGTGCAAATTTGATCAAGTTGACCAAAACGGACCATGTTTTTCTAAAAGGGAGTAGCATAGCATAGCATAGCATAGCATAGCATAGCATAGCGGAGAGGAGAGGAGAGGAGAGGAGAGGAGTGAAGAGGAGTGAAGAGGAGTGAAGAGGAGT